TAATTATATACTACAATGTACTCACAAAAACGTTCGATAGTGTGGAAATATTTTGAGCGAAAGACGCCAAGATTTGCCATATGTCTCTTATGTCAAAGAGAATATAAAGAGTCAAAAAACACAACCAATTTTCTTGGACATTTGAATCGGAAACATTCGACGGTACTTGAAGTAAATCGACGAGGGCGCGAAAAAGTTGAAGCGATGGACATCGATGGAGTCGTGGAGCCTGTGGTACCTGAGACATTAACACAACAAATAATACCTGTTGCATCTACTCCTACTGAAAATACAACTAAAAATAGTGATTTATTAGATGTAGAAGACAAAACGCAGGTACATGATAGGGAATTGAAAACTGAGGCAACAGAACTGCAACAATCAAAGATTATCAAATTACATAATTTTGTAGTAACTATGATTTGTCAAGACTTACAACCCTTAAGCATAGTCGACGACAAGGGATTCATTGAACTTCTTCGTGAACTTGAACCTCGGTATCAATTTCCAAGTCGAAATACCTTAAGACACACCATTTTGCCACAAGTATACAAGAGTGTTAAAGATTTAATTATGAAAAATCTACAGCAAATAGGTTACGTTTCCATCACCACAGATCTTTGGACAAATTTAGATAAGCAATCTTATCTAACAGTAACCAGCCATTATTCTTTACAAAATAAATCATATTCAAATGTTCTGGCCACTAAAGCTTTGTATGAAAATCCTACGAGCGAATATATAACAGATATACTGAGCATTATTTTATCAGAGTTTCAAATATACGAAAAAACTGTTGCAGTTGTAACAGATAATGCTGCATATATGAGAGATGCTGTACGTAATCTGGGATATTTACATTTACCATGTACAGCACTTACGTTAAACTTAATAGTACATGACTCGATTGATGCAGTTCCGGAAATAGTCAATACGATAAAAGCATGTCGTTCTTTAATCAGCTATTTTAAAACTGATATGTCTGCCGACACATTGACAGAATTTGGGTTGCAAACATTAAAATTAAAACTGAACTTACCAACCATATGGCATTCTTCTGTTACAATGCTAGAAGGGTTAATCAGTCTGAAGGTTCCTATATCTGCAGCTCTAGAATCATCTACATCTGTAGACATATCTGAACAACAATGGGAAATTATGGAGGATATCGTATTAGTATTAAAACCATTAACAGATGTAACTATGGAATTAAATGCAGATGGATATTCTATAGCTTCGAAAATAATACCATTTGTAGGAGAAATTGAAAATGCAATTCAGAGTATTGAACCTAAAACGGAACCTGGACTTGCTTTGAAAACTAATATAAGAGACAATATTGAACACAGATTTATTGATGCAAAAGAAAATAAAATTACAACAATGGCGTCAATAATAGATCCCAGATTTAAAACAGCCGCTTTCGAAGATCAAATGAATGCAGAAATATCAGTCGCAGATTTGGAAGCGGATGTTCAAAGTATGTTGAGAATGCAACATAATGCAGAATCAACAAATCAAGAAGGGAAAATAGAAAGTGAGGAAGGAGCAGGCTTCTGGAAGTTTCATCTGAAGAAAATTTCTCATCTAACGAGAAGTTATGTCGAGTCTTCGGAAAACGCCGCAAATATAGTCAAGCGATATCTGCAACTGCCCTACGAAAGTATCGATAGTGACCCAATCAAGTTCTGGGATACACATGGGGATAAAATGCCAGAATTGAAAAAAATAAGTCAGAAATACTTAACTATCCCGGCAACGTCTGTTCCATCCGAAAGGATATTTTCAAAAGCTGGACGGATCATGTCTGCAAAGAGAAGTCAATTGGCAGAGACGGATTTAGATACACTTNGAATTCATCTGCGTTCCCATGCTCCTCGGATTTGCGAAACTTAATATCAAAATGAAACGCTTGTAAATATACTATATACAGGGTATTCCACCTAACTTGACCACCTTAAATATATCGCTTATTTTTTGTGATAGAAAAAATGTCTGTGAAAAATGTTTGTGATGAAAATGAAACGTCAAACGAAAAAAATTTTCTTTTTTATCCAATCATTCTTATTCTGCAGACTCATGACTCATTCCATGTTCCACTGTACCATTCGCCTGTCTATACTCTGTATATGTATGAAAATTGTGCTATGAAAATATCATATAAGTAATGTGTTATTTAACTATTATTACAGACATCCTGCAATGCTGATAAAGGGACGCAGGTCGCCATGCCGTGTACATGTGCATCAACGGAGAGCCCGCATGACGCATGGGCAAAAGCTGCGCTACGGGAAAATGCAGCAAATATGAAGAAAAAATATCAATATCAAATAAAACTGTTAAAACAGAGCAATACGAAAGCAAAGACACAAATTACCAATTTACGTACTCTGGTGGAGATACTTCGAAAGAGAATTTGCTGGAAGGTAAGCACATTGAATCTTTACAAAGAATACTAAATTTACCTAACAAACTTTTGCAACGCAGGATAAGAAAGAGTAAAAAATACTTGTCGAACGAATTTACTCACCACAACTGAGATTATTTCTATTTACGTTGCATTATTACTCGCCAATGGCGTATGCCTATGTTAGACAGAAATTTAATTTAAATCTCCCCATCGAAAGACTATTTACAAATTGTATCGGTCTTTCAATGGGGAATTAGGTTTTGAGTCCATTAGATACATTATTGAGTATATAGAAGTTGTAAAAGATGTGTATGCAATCACAGTTCTATATTATTATTATTTATATTTTAGGAGGGTTCCGAACCACCAGATTTTGACGCTCAAAGACTGAACACATGAAAATTTATTTTTAATGCTGATGCTAGACGCTCGACGACTTACGTGACTGCGGGGAAATCCTACCTTCAGCAACCTTACAAGTTGGGCACTCAGACAAACTTTATGTGATTTAAAAAATTAGCAATGTAATTGCTTCTTCCCTTATTTTCTTTCGGCAGATTTGTTAATATATACTCAATTATATTTTCTCGCATTTCATTAATGCGTCCAATGACATCTGGACTTGTGATATGAAAATCCATTCATTCTGTTAGTAACTTACATTTTACTGAATTCTAAAAATTAAAATAACTTTTCCATGAATGTGCAGTTACTAACATTATTGGAAAAGGTAATAAGAAATATTGGTTTAACGATATTTTATGTTGTAAGTTATATATTAATCATTTATTACTCTATTAATTGATAACTATTATTTCTGTAATAATAAGTACATTGTATAAAAAGATTGTGAAACGAAATGCGTTGTTACTTGACAAATTTTTATACATAAAGAAATGACAGGCTAAAGC